TTTTCTATTGATGTATTTAATGAAATTTTTAGGAATGAAAAGTATTATATGTTTATAATTTGTATTAGTTTATGTGTAGAATTGTAGGATCAAATTTTTGTATTTTAAGAATTCAAAATTCTAAAATAGTAATTTGTAAACACATAGACACAATTTATAAACTTAAATTTAAAAATGCATCTTACTTTTCGTTCCTATAAATCTCATTTCCATTATTATCAAAATTTATGCAACCGCTAATAAACTTAGATTAAATGATTACCATAAATTGTATTGATAAGTCAAATTTATTCTATCCCATCTTTCTATTTCATACCATTCCTATTATATTCACCATAATAAGTAAGTTATTTATCATCGTTAAACACTTCATCCAATTCTGCCCAATTTCCAATCTTTTTCTGGGTTCCATCTTAATCATATGATCCACCACCACTATATATATATTTTTAAATATTTACATATTTTTATATTCTTTCTCACCATATTTACAATACATTATGTCCCATACCATTGATATTATAGTCCCATTATAAGTATATTTATCGTCATCAAACCCTTCATCCAATTCTATCCATTTTCCAATCTTTCCTAAATTCCTTCTTGATCATATAATCCACTACCATTATATTTATAAAAATAGAAAGAATCCTTTGTGCTAATATATTATTTACATTTATTTATAAACCTCACTTTGTTATCTTTTATAAATAATATCCCATCTACCAATCTTCAAACCATTCATATTATATTCACCATTCTAAATCATTAAGCTTAAACTATTAAAAAATTTCCACAACTCAATCCATTTCCCTTTTTTAATCCCCTCATCGTCATAGAATCCACCGGCTCTTCATTATGGGAATACTTCTTACATTTATTTATCATTCTAAAAACATTTCCACTTTCCTATTCTTTAACCATTAAAATATTCTCCTATTTCAACAAGTTAAAACTGCGTCTGCTATATTTCTTCAATCCATATTCCTTGCTTTATCCTGTTTTTAGAGTATAGTAGATATTATGTAATTAAATTAATTATTATTTCTAGAACATCCTCCAAGTTTATTTAATTGTTTTTTATCTCTTTCTATTTTTTACTATTCTGATTATTTTGGCCAAAATATCCCCATTTTATTAAATTATATAAAATTTAAAACTAATTTAACTTAGTGAACATTAAAATTCATAAAATAAGAGTGGAATAATAAATACCTTAGATTCATAAATTAATCACTTTCTGAAAAATTAATTCATAGTCTTAATATTGGAAATATTGTTCTGTATGAAATTCTTAACTTCATATACTTAAATTATAAATGCCCAACTTTAAATTATCATAATTATTTGACTTTATAAATTAAAATGTAAATCACATATATAATCCTTTATCATTTATGTAAAGTTGAATTTATCTATCAAATTCAAATGTTTTAATTTATTACTGAAAAATTAGAATTAAATGCGTATGTTCAGCAGAGACACCATAACTAATTTAATTTTCAGTAAAGTTATAAATAAGATTTTCTTCATTAAATGAGGATACACTTAATACACTTTAATTTATGTTTGAAAAAAATAAGAAATCCAAAGGTTTTTATTATTATCATAAAGATTATCTTCATCTAGCTTGCTATCGATCTGTTTCAGAGAGTGAGTATATGAGTTCTTCATTTATTTGTCATGCGCTTACTTCGAAACTCTAAATTTCTGATTTGTGAAATTTTTAAGCCTTAATTTGAAAACCTTGTCAAAATGCTTCTTAAGGAGAGAGCCAATCTAGATTCTCTTCTTGCAAATTTTATATTTCAGAAATGTACCAGAGGAAATTTATTAAGTTTTGCTTTTAGGGTGAAAAACTTAATTTTGAAATATGGAAGAAAGATTTTAACGAGTTGCCAGTATGTGGCTTCTTCAGGTATAGCTTACGATACTTAATACCCTTTTGATGGAGTAAATTTCAAATGCAGAAAGGGACCAAATTGCTGATCATTTTGCTTTGACTAAATTTTGCCTTATATCATCTCCATACATCAACTTCATTTATTTAATTCATAAAAGCATAAATTTTGATAGTGGATTCTAAAGTAAAATCAAATATATGGAGGAGCTTATTTAAATCAATAGTCTCTTTAATTAATAAAAGAGTTAGATTTATAATTATCTTATAATAATTCAAAAAGTATGAAAAACCTCTATTATTCACTTTATCAATTAATGGAGGTTTAACTATTTAATCAAAACTTTTCATCAAGCTAAACAAATTGCACATTTGGAGTTTGACATTTACTAGAGTAGTAAATATTTGGTAGAATATTTGATTCAATATCTCATTTAATTACCTTATTTGATATCGATTCATAAGTAATTGTTGAAGATATGTTTTCTGTAATTCCAGAGATGCAATTTTAATGAAAGATTGTACCTACCAATTAGATTCTTTTATTTGTAAAATAAATATTAGGAGCTATTTCTTCAATTTAAACATATGGTGATCCATAAATTGTAGTTTAGATTATGTTATTTGCACTAAATTCTATATTAAGGAGATTAGTAAATGTGTATTTAAATACATATTTCGAGAATTGTAATAAAAGCTTGGGGGGTATTTGAAACTTATTATGTTTTACTGAATTAGCTGCATCAAATAATATTAAACTGTGAAGAATGTGATCTCACGACATAAAAAACTATATTAAGGGCTTGCCATTAATCTTGACAACAAGAAAATTAGATTAAAATATTTCCTAAACAATCCTTTCTTCTAATTACTGATTTTAAGTTTAAGAGATAGATGATCCAATTTAGAATAAACCATTGTTTTCAAAATTCACAATAATCAACCTTTAATTATAAGGATCCACATTACACCAAAACTTTCCATTTCCTAAATTAGCAGAGTCATCCTCATTAAATAATTTCTAACATAACTCTGTTTGGGATAGTAGCACGATTAATTGCTTAAATATAATTATTCCACAATAAACTATTGTGATATAGTCAAAACTAACTATCCTTCAATTTCGATATAAAGAGATACCATATTCACAAGTTACACATTCAGAATGTCTATGTTATCTTTTATCAATAACTGTAGCTGGAGAGTTATATATCCTTAATCACAAGCTCATCATTCTGTATCATATCTCCTCTACAACGAAAACAATTAGAACTTGAACCAGAATAAGTTGCTCATTTGAATTCAGATTGAGGACAATTAGCTTTAACAAAATTTATGATGGATTATCTAGTAAAATAGTTGAATTACAAGTAATACAATAACTAGATTTTACTGCACAAGTTGAACAAATATTGTAAAATAAGAATTATATTAATATAACATCACCAACTCTATCTCCTTGCAAACGATACATAAATCACTTTATTTTTGACAAGTTGCACATTACCAAGCACAAGATTAACAAATTGGATTCTTATTTATTTTCGTCATCAAAATAACCAGAAGGACGTGAATAAAACGATGCATCTTATTTCTATTAGCAGCATATTTAAACAGTTAATAAAGGCTTCATTACAAGTGGAGCATTTATAATAGAATAATTTACAAACAGTCAACTATTTCAAGTTTTACCTAAGTATATGTTTTATAGAATCTAAATTCTATTCATTTAATAAAGAATGTACCTTTTTATTGGTATACAATTTAGACTCCACTTTAAACAGACTTTTGCTCTGATAATGGTGTTCTATAGATTCTTTACAAAAAGTAATTCTTTTGGGAAGGAAAATAGCTGAAGGTACTTCAGTAATTATGTCAACTGCAAAATCAAATCATTTGATATTCTATATAAATAGTGATACTTTATAAAAAGTTTATTCTAATTTCAATTATCCTATTCTTACCAAATTATGATTCATAAACCTATTTCTCAGTTTACACTATAAAGTTCTAAGTCACAAACTATAATGATATCACTAAATAATGATGTATGTATCAATCAATTGTTAATTAAATAATTCAGAATGATTCTGTTATGACTTTTAGTTTGTTATTGTAAGATTAAGGCTATACATCATCAGGAGAAGTTACTTTGTGTATTTTTGTTGATATATTATCTATGTATATATTAATATTAACATATATGTAGTTCACTATTAATGAAAAGAAAAATAAAATTTCATTAAAATCAAAAATTATTTTCATGTACTCGAATAATATATTAAGATTTGAATATATTAATTAGCATGATCAACTGAAAAATCTACTAAGATTTTTTGATTTACCATACTTCAATTTAATAGTCAATTTACCATAATTATATAGATCACTAATGGAAAAGTATATAAGAGAGTGCACATTTTATTTATTAAATGATTTAAGAAAGGAAATTAGAATATAAAAATGTAAAGATTAATGATTTAGAATTTGATTATTTATTAAAAAGAAAACAAGAGTTGTCAATACAAGATTAAGGAGATCAAATTAATTCTTAATTTAGAGAATTGTAAAACATATGAATAAAAAATATACCTCATAATTAATTTACAAATAAATGATGGGGTTTAATAATTTTAGTATTTAATTAAAACTCTCCTGAGAAATCAGATCTTAGATAAGTTTCATTTGATAAATTTTCTGAAGAAAAAGAGATTATCGAAGAGTAAGTGTAGAAGCTAGATAAAAAATAATAGTTTTCAACTTAACAATTAAAATTAGATATTTATTAATTTTTTGAAGATTTAGACACAATTTAATTAAAATATTTCACTTAATAATAAATGTTTTTTGATTTTTTAAAAATAGGTGTATTGATCAAAGGTTAAACTTTAATGTAATAAAAGCCTTTTGATTATGGAGGATTTGAAAAATTTTATATTGTTATAAATAACAACATTTTATAGTCTTAAAAACTAATATATCTTTTGAAATAGGAGTTTGATTAATTTAAGAAATCAGAAACGGATGTTGTTAATTGAAGTAAGGACAAAAGTATGACTAATATTAGGTAGTTTTTAAGAAAGTAAATCTGAATGTAAAATTTGAAAATGTGATATTCATATACAAAACATTAGATAGATAAAGAAGCAGTTTACTAGGTATTCTAGATGAAGAAGGAGATTTCCTTATAGTTTCAATTGTAATTCAACCTAATAATAAATAACAATCTAATTATTCTAAATACTATTATTTATATTATTGTAATTATCGATAATTAAGAGTGTGTAGATCGATAATCATTTGATTGAATGATATTTCAGTTTCAACTAGGCAGAGATTAAATCATTTGATACAGCCATGTAATCTGTACTAGATAGATTGGATCCCTAATATATTTTTTTATTATAATTAAAATGGGAAATATGTTTTTCATTATTAATTTAACTAAGTATTTCTATTTCGCAATTTCTATCTTCATCATATAATTAAATTATTCTCCAAAATTAAGAACCTACAGTACAAAATATAAAAATTATAAATTTATGCAATCAAACGATTCAAGTTTGAGAAGAGTAGTTTTGAGTTCTTTAGCGGCTGAAGAGCCATAGAAGATTAAAAAATATAATTAAAATTAGCTCTATTTTCAGATCGGCCAACGAATCTTGGTCTAAAGACAGTTTTGTCATAATTCTTAAGGTTTGACCTTCACCAATAGTAATATTTTCACTTCAAAATTCATTAGACATGAATATTATGGAATCAAAATAGTTTAAGGATCTAAATTAGAGGATTTTGAAATAGTATGTAAATTTGGATATGGGAATTATGGTTGTGTAGAAAAGTATTTCACAAACCTACTTAAGATTATTATGCTTTGAAAGTATATTTGTAATGAATTGAACAACATAAATACATTATGTGAGTAATATTGTATAAGCAGCCACTTTTGAAGAAAGAATTAAAGGTTCTATTTGATTGTAATTCATTATATGTTGCTTAATGTTATAGTGCATATTATTCTAAAGGGGAAATCTATATTGTTATGGAATATGTGGCTTTGAAGATAATTTTAGAAAAAAACTAAAATAATATCAGAATCTATTACTATTTTGATAATCAAAGAAGTTCTTTCAGGCGTCGATTTATTTGTATAAATGTTTTGTAGAATTTAAAAACAATAGGGGATTTTAGGATTTGTTTTTTAGTGAGAATTCAGATTGCAAATTTGATACATTCATTGGTATCATATAATTATTAATGAATAGATATATACAATACAATTTATTAATTGTCTCCTGAAAGATTCACCGAAGAAGAATATGAATATGATTGAGATATTTGGAGTATAGAAATGATGACTAAGAATGTATCACAGGTCTCTTAACTTTTGTATTTGATGCCAAAAAAATAAGTATGAAAAGAAGATATTCAAAAGAAAAAGAATTTCAAAATAGATGATTATTTTTAATAACAAAAACTTGGAATCACAGATAATTCTATTTAATTGATTTCTAAATTGGTATTTCAACTATTTATTTATTATTATTTTTTAGCTTGTAATAAGAACCAAAAGATAGAACAAAACCTTAAGAATTACTACAAACAAAGCAATTAAGTATAATAGTCCCTTTAAATTGGGGTCTTTATATAATGGCTATAATTTGAATTTACTTTTTATTTGATCAATTATTTATTTATAATTAACAGAAATGAATTCAAATTTAGGAATGTCAAAATCTCATATTCAATGAGAAGTGTCGATTGGATTTGAAATTGGCAAGAAATGAAGAATTCAAGAGAAACTCTAGTTAATCACCAAATATTATTCAACTTTACAAAGAGAAATGAATTAAAATATTCTTATTTCTCATCGTAGTCTAGAGAGTTGAATTTGTCTTTTGTGAAAAAATAGAGATAAAAAACTACATAGTATTTTATTGTATTAGAATTCTTATCAACCAAATTATAATAATAAGTATTCATAAACGCAACAATATGAGTAAGATATAAACAAACTACAAATAGGAAACCAAAATTTTGCCAATAAGAGTGGAACTAAATTACGCTGCCCAGTAGTGCCATAAGAGAGGTTGCTTTTGATACAGCTGCTTATTTGAGAGAAAAGAGAAAATTATGAATTCATTTATGACCCAATAAGAAATAGAAAGAATTACAAGAATTTCCCTTAGGAAATGATATTATGGTAATGTTTATTTTTTAAATGAAGTTTTACCTAAATTTTTAAACATTTAGGACAATTAAAATTATGTCTTATGCCTTTGCGATCATCCAAACAACTAGGAATACAGGATGTACAAATAAATCAAAATAAGCAAAGAAGCGGTATAAATTCAACATGAATAGTTTTTTTACCAGAATGGTTAGTGAATACTGCACTAACCTTATGATAAAATAAGAAATACTTTATTTTAACACCCAGAACATTTGATTAAAACAGAATCAAATAGGTAGTAATTTTAATTTATACTCAATATATGTTTTAGTCTTAATTGATTGTTTGTTAATAAAATTAGGCATTTTAAGTAATATGATATTCAAGCCCATATAATTGCTTTTTAAATTGATTTCATATAATTGTATATATATATAATCAACTTAGAAGGTATTGAGTAAATCTTATGAATTTGCAAAATATTCTGTTATTTTAATGTTAGATGCTGTTAGATTATATTTGAATGGAATTAAAGATTTAATTATCTTCATACTCCCGAAAGTAAAAATTTAAATTATTACTTCTCTTTAAGAATCAACTAATCTGAAAATTATTGACATATTTTTGGAAGAAAATACTTTATAATTGGTGGCTTGGTCTCTAAGATAATATCCTCTATCACAGCTCTTGGAACTGATCCTCTAAAAACAGGTAACTGATAACAGTTGGATATAACATAATTATCAGGTGAGAACTTTGGTAATATAGGCCAACCTACATCAAAAATGGCACCATCTGCTTTGAGAATGGAACTGATTTTAAATTCAAAATTGATATCTATTTGCATTTTCTTTGAATTTGAACTAATCATCATTCAATTCAGGTGTATTATATGCATATGTGATTGATTAACAAAATTATGTAATCCATCAGCTTACAATTTGAATTCTGCTTTTAATCTATATATTAGCAAATACACCTATTAATCATGATTTAATGATATACGATTGCCGAAATAATTTATTATTTCATTATCTTTTTATTATTTATTCCCCCTTTATAAGTAAATAAGCAGCTTCTCTAACATTAATATCACATTTGATAGTTCTCTAACGAAAGAGTTCGTTTTTCAGATTCTATCATACACATAACTTATTCTAATTGTATATCTATACATATTAAATATTTGTATTCTACTGTAGAAGCTAATTCTGTATTGTAAGATTATTAAGGTCTATGTCTCAAAATATTTCTAGCTATTAGATCTTTACACTTGGAAACTCCTTAATTGACAGGTTCTTTGCCATCCTCAATCAAAGGTGCTTTAAATAATCTCACCAACATAGTACAATATGAAGATCATTCTTGAGAATAACTAACTAATGTAAATATTATTTAAATCTTTTTCATATCAAATGGAGGAGTTCTATCAAATTATCCACTAAATAATGAAATCTGATATGTTCCAGTATAACCTACATAATTATCTTCATTAGGATCTTCAGGTTATGACTTTGTTCAAGGATTCAAAAATAAATTAAAAGCTACATAACTAACAATTCTGTTCCAGTTTTTAATAATTTAGTTTTATCTTTAAATATATTATTATCGTAACAAAAATTTGATATTGTATTTATAAAGATATGAGAAGATGAA